TCCTGCCGCCTGCCGTGCCCCCAACTAGCCCCAGCCCCCCTACGTCAGGCTGTGGGACGAAGCCGCCTATGACCAGAGCCTGCCCGACTTCAGCCACATCCGGATGAAGGTCCTGGGCTACAGCGAGGATCCCCGCCCCCTGCTGGCCCCTGAGCTGGGGCGGCAGCAGCTGGAAGCCAGTGACAGAGGGGAAGGTGGCCCTCGCGATGCTCAGGCCTGGATGGAGGCTGCTGTGGTCGTCCACAGGGGCTCGGATGAGGATGAGGGAGAAAGAAACCCAGCTCAGAGCAGTCCCCGGTGAGTGTGCAGAGCGCAGGAGTGGGAATGCTGCCCACTTCTGGGGTGAGGAGGGGGATGTGGGCCATGAGGGGTGGTTGGGTGCATATGGGAGTCGAGAGGGCAGTGGGGGTGGGGCACTCAGAGGGCGGCAGGTGTAGCAGATGCATGAATCTGGGCTTAGACCGGCCTGGGTTCAAATCCCAGCAGCACTGCTGTATAACCTTGGCAAGTTTCCCACCCTCCTGAGCCTCAGTTTCCCCACATGGGAATAATCCCTCCCACCTCTGAGGGGTGTTGTGGAGATGGAACAGTGCACTTAAGGGTCAGCATACCATAGACCTCTGCACTGAATGCTTGTCCTGTGTGGCGGGGGGCATGGAGCCGGAAAACCTGAGTTCAAATCCAGACCCTGCCCCTGATGTGCTCGTGACCTCGGGCAGGTCACTCCCCACCCCACCCCACCCCTGGGTGTTTATGAATTGGGTTCCTTATTCATCCATGTATTTACTCCTCCTACCACTGTTCCTGGGCACCTGCCCCTGCCAGGCCTGATGGCCCCCACCCTGCAGGAGCTCTTTGTCCAATGGGGGAGGCAGGTGAGGGAGCAGTGACACCTAGTGAGCTGGGGCTGAGGGCCCAGAGGAGAACCCTGAGTGACTGGAGAAGTGGAGGAATGACCTGGTTTGGATAACATGATAATGGCTCATTTCTTGAGCACCTACTAGGTGCCAGGAATTGTGCAAAGTGCTTTGAACACAGGATCTGCTGTAAACTTCAGAGACTCCAGAGGAGTGAGTACCTTACAGGAGGAAACTGAGGCCCAACCAGGTGGGCTCACCTGCCCTGGCTTGCAGCCAGTGGCGGAGGTTTCGACCCAGGCAATCTGACTCAAGCTGCCCTTGCTCTCTCTGGCTTTGTCCCTGCAGCGCCCCAGTCTCTCCCCAGGGTCCTGCACCTCTGGCTTCCTTCCAAGATGAAATGGATGTGGGCTCCAGTGAGGGCGGCAGCCCCAACCCGTCTCCGCCTGACGGGGAGGAGCCTGGCCCCCCGCCAGGGGAGCCCTGGGCCTGCAGGTGCCAGCTGGACCGCTTCCATGACTTCGCTCTGATCGATGCCCCCACGTCCGAGGACACACCTGCAGCGGGACAGTGGCGGGACGCAGCCCTCCCCAGCTACTGGCCGCGGTCCCCGAGGACGAAGGAGGAGGACGAGGCTTCCGACTCAGGTGCAGAGGAGCCGGAGCAGGAGGAGGAGGACTTGTACTATGGGCTGCCGGACAGCCCCGGGGACCCCCTCCCGGACAAGGAACTGGGCTTTGAGCCCGATGCCCAGGGCTTAGATGGAACTGCCCCTGGGTGCTAGCCTGGCACAGCCACTAGCCCTGTGTGACTTCACACGGCCTCAATTTCCCTCTCTGCAAAAGGGGGTTGTCTGGAGGTTCAGATGAGACAGTGGGTCCTGCAGCACCTGGAGGGCTGTAAAGGAGCACGCAGGAAGGGGCGATGGTTTTCGATGGATCACGGCCACTCCGTTGTTATTTTGGGGGGTTAGGGCTTTGAGGGTGAATGCGATTCGAAGATCGGCAGCAGCTGGGGCCTCGGAGCCTTCTCTGCCTCCCCCCCCACCAGCTGCCTCTGAACAGGCGCCCCCTTGGGGCTACGCTGGCTCTCCGATCCCCCGTGAAGGCCTCTCAGGGTGCCCGTTCCTGCTGAGTCTTTAGTCCGCCCGGTGTGCCGCGTGATCCGCCTTCACCCAGGGCTAACCGCGTGTCCCCCACGTCCCTCCTGTGGCTCCTGTTTATGGGATCCAAAACTTTCCATGGCTGATCTCTGCTGACCTCCCAACTTACTCCCTCACCAGCCTATGCCACACCCTCTGCTCCTCAACCCCAACGCTGTGTCCTACCACACACACACACGCGCGCGCGCGCGCGCGCACACACATGCACACACATGTACACACATGTGCGCTGCTACCCACGCCCTTCTCTGCCACCTCTCTGCCAGGAAGCCCTTTGATCCCTCGTCTGCCTGGCAAACTTGTGCTCACCCTTCAAACCCTCGCACAGGTATCCCTCCTCTGAAAGCCTTTCCTGCTGTCACCGTCTCCAGGGACAACATAGTCCTGGCTCCTTCGCGCCGCCTTCGGGTCTCGTACGCTCATCACTGGACCATGGCTGTTCGAGGCCAGTGCCCTTGCTTGACTCACATGGTACCTCCTGTGCCGAGTCAGTGCTCACGGAGGGGTAGGAACTGACCAGAGCCCAGGAAGCTTTGCAGAGAACGTCCTCTCCCGACTTCCCTACCTCTTAGACTCCCTCCCCCTTTACTCTCCGGCATTCAAACTTCCAAATGGCCTGCAGAGGAGTCACAGAGCCAGGCAAAAAGCCCCTGAGTAACCCGCGCCCTGCAGAATACTTATGTATCGGTTTAGGACTGTGGGTTGGAATGAAACTTCCTGGCTTAATCCAATTTGATTCAGGCGGCATTTACTGAGCATCTACTATGTGCCAGACACTAAGCCAGGATCTTTAGGGAGAAAGAGACATAAACTGATAGCAGTTCTTGCCCTCAAAGGACTCACAATCTAGTGAGCTTGATTCTTATAAGTTAGGGACAGAGTGCAGAGCAGAGGCCGAGGTGGGAGCAGAGAAATTAAAACATTGGCGCAGCAGAGGCAGCAGAGTGACCTGGGGCCAGCGAGTGAGTCTGTGGCAAGTAGCTCAGCCTGCTTCAGCAGCCCCTGAGGATGCCACTGTTTTATAGCAGCAGCATGGCGGCAGGCAGGGCAATGCTATTAGCACGCGAGCTCGGCCACGCCCCCCAGTGTCCCCGCACAGGGACCCTGAGATGCTTCAGAGGAAGGGGCAGGGGCACTACCTCAAACCAGGCCCACGGGCTTAGAGCTTCACTCGGGCCTCCTGGGCCGGGGAGACCTCCTCCTGGGCCGGGGAGACCTCCTCCTGGGCCGGGGAGACCTCCTCCTGGGCGGGGAGACCTCCTCCTGGGCTGGGGAGATCTCCTCCTGGGCCGGGGAGACCTCCTCCTGGGCCGGGGAGACCTCCTCCTGGGATGGGGAGACCTCCTCCTGGGCCGGGGAGACCTCCTCCTGGGCCGGGGGACCTCCTCCTGGGCCGGGGGGACCTCCTCCTGGGCCGGGGAGACCTCCTCCTGGATGGGAGACCTCTTCCTGGACCGGGGAGACCTCCTCCTGGGCCGGGGGAGACCTCCTCCCTGGGCCGGGGGGACCTCCTCCTGGGCCGGGGGGACCTCCCTCCTGGGGATGGGGAGACCTCCCTCCTGGAACCGGGGAGACCTCCCTCCTGGGCCGGGGAGACCTTCCTCCCTGGGATGGGGAGACCTCCCTCCTGGGCCGGGGAGAACCTCCTCCTGGGGCTGGGGGACCCTCCTTCCTGGGCCCGGGAAGACTCCTTCCTGGGCCGGGGGGACCTCCTCCTGGCCCGGGGGACCTCTCTTCTGGGGATGGGGAGACCTCCTTCCTGGACCGGGGAGACCTTCCTTCTCGGGCCGGGGGAGAC